GTGTGTGTGTGTGTGTGTGTGTGTGTGTGTGTGTGTGTGTGTGTGTGTGTGTGTGTGTGTGTGTGTGTGTGTGTGTGTGTGTGTGTGTGTGTTTCTTCTGAAAAAAATTAGATTCAGCGTAACAATAATAGCATAAACAGCATAAAGTAACTAGGAATCTTTAAGTCTTTAGGAATGTTTAAGTGAAACGATGTGATTGGTCGGCGCAAGTTACGCTTACGCCGCATGTGATGGCACCCTAATGGATTTGGCAGAGCGATTGTGTATCGAAAATAGCGGAACATCTGCAATTAGTCAGATTTTCGATACGCGCGATCCGCGATACGCTCCATGACATCTTTACACTGTTATCAGATTTTTATTTTCAATATTTTTTCTCATTCTACTAATTCAATTAGTTTTAGTTTTCCAAGATTTGTAAAATTGAAAAAATCTTTTTTCTATGCTCTGATTTCATTGTGGTATGCATTCCGTTGCATGATGCGCATAATGCATCATTTATCTTTGTTTAATGCATAATGAATAATAAGGATAAATGATACATCATGCGTATCATGCGAGAAACGAAACACATCCCTGTATTCTAATAAAATTTGTACAAAATACCTACAAAATTCTATTTACACATAACCTATATACATGAAATCAGTGTACAATTTCGTTTCGTTTTCTACTTTTTATTAATCAATCATGTTACATATTTGAGAGGAAAAACAAGTTTCTTCGTATACATTTATATAATCTACAATTAAAAGCAAGTTATGGACACGAGATGAGTTTAACTATGATGTTAAACTGAACTGTCGTTCCACTCGGTTAAAGTCAAATTTGTGAAACTGGATCCGATCTAAAATGTGAATCGATCGGATCGGCTGCATAATCGGTAGTTTGATACAAGCTTAAAGCATATCTAGCAATTTCTTTAGAAAAATCTCGATTTTGCGATTGGTGAACCTGCGCATGAATTCTATGGACGAATCGGTGAATATACATATACAGATACATGGTGCACATCAAAACATACGTTGACGATGAAGTGACAATTTCGAGAACGTATTTGTTAGACGAATACACAATTTTCGCACAACTTGATTTAACAATTTTAGCGGAAGGCACGACGGTGTCATTGGAATTGCGACGTTGGCGTATAAAATCTGTCGCGATTCCATCACAAGGTATGACATGCCAAGTTCTTGAAAATATCTGAAAATTTAACAATGGCTCGCTGCGACAAGCATGCGTACAGATTACTCAATATTACTCCGCTGTGATGCATATCCATCGTATAGATCATGAATGGAAACGATAAGCTTAATTTTCACCATCTGGATGATTTACAGATTTTGTCTTTCTTTTTTTTTTTTTGGCAAGGAAATTACGTAACACATGTAATAAACTAGCAATTAGTCATTGTCACTATTTTGCATATGTGTTTATACGTGCAATTAATTATGTTATGTTACATTCAATGTAATAAACGAATGTTCTAGACAAATTTTTAAAATATCTCGAGCTTATCTCGTTTTTTACAAAACATGAATACCATTTTATAAATTTTACTTGTGCTAACGAGAAATTATTTCATATCAATACTTAAGCTTACATCAATCAATACAAATCTTAGATTTTAACTTCTATATACATGTCTGATATTTTATAAATGTAAACCTATAAATTTCTTATTTGTTTCAGAGTGAAATGTTTATGCATGATAATCAGAAGTGACAAATTACAAATGTATAAATATAGTGATTTTTATGTAAATTATTACACAGGTTCTTCTGAATTCTTATATTTGTGAAAACTACTTATGTAATAATTTTAAAATGTCGCACGGAGATGGTGCTGCTATCGCAGTGCCTAATAATCAAAACGGCGCAATAGGACATAATCTTCACAGTCTTGCTGGTGTCATAGGACCAGTCCTGAATAATAACAACATGAATATAGCTAGAAATAACAATAATCAAAACCCCTTGATTAATGTACGGGATAGGTTATTTCATGCATTATTTATCAAAGCAGCATTAGCTTATGCACGAACATTTCCAAGGCCTGTCAGGAGATTTATAGAATTTATAGTCCTCTTAAAGGTAAGATATAAACTTATTCATATGTGTGTATATGTGTGTGTATGGGGGGGGTATGTATGTGTGTGTATATATGCATATGTACATGCGTACATGTGTGTGTATATATGTGTGTGTGTGGGGTGGGGGGGGTATGTGATTGCTCAAAAGAATTTTTTATATAAATATATATATAAATAATATATATAAATAATAATTTATATAAATAAATTTTATATAAATAAAAAAAGTATCAAGAAAATATTGATATCGTACAATGTTTTATTCACAGGCTATATTGGCATTTTTTGTATTGGCTTATATCCATATAGTATTTTCACGTGCACCAACTAACTGCTTAGAACATATAAGAAACGAATGGCCACGGGATGGTATATTGAGAGTCGAAATTCTCAAGAATGGTGGTGAAGACTATAGTATAGAGAAGAGTTATGCCAAAGAGGAAAAATTGAGACAAGAAAAGGTTGATGATTTGACTAACGCTTTAGGAATATTAACTGGAGATGGGTAAGTCAAAATATATATATTTACAAGATATAAAAGTGCTCTTGTGCATTAATTTTGTATCATGTATAAAACAAATAAATATTGTTATATTTTATTTGTTTACTTGTTATATTAGCTTTATAAATATTGAACCATCAGCTGTTGATGAAGAACGGGAGACTATAAATTCCTCTATTGACGAGAACCATGAAAATTTAACATTACTTGAGCAAGATCTAACGAGAAGTGCCACAATTTCTGGAGAGATGCAAAATCCTGATCTAAGCACAACAAATACAACAATAACTCCATCATTATCAACGAAACTTTGGGATGGTTTAAATGTAGCTAAAAAACAATACATATGTTTAAAACTATATCATATACTATAACTATAACTATATAAATATATATGTTTATTTTGAAGATAATATTAACGTCTGATAATTCAATTTTTTTTAATTTTATATAAACATTAAAATTTTTTTAATATTTAATATTTAATAATATTTTATGATTAAAGACTGATTTGCATGGAAAATAATATTTAATATAAATGATTAATATGAAATAATATTTTTCTCTCATTTTAGTCATCCAGAGAAAAGTTTTCTACTGCAGAAAATAATTACACAGCAGTACCTGATCATTTAAGTGGAAATAATGTACAATTAAAAGATCGTACAGCTGATGCTGATAAAATGGCTAAGACAGGTAAATAACATAGTAAATATATTGTTTATAAGACAATTTTTTAGAGAGTTTTTTTACTATAAGTGCTGGAATATAACACTTATCTAAATTCACCTAAATGATTTTTATTTATTTTTGTTTTTACTTATGCAAATATTAATATTTTCAGAAGATGGATATATCGTAGAATATTCATTGGAATATGGCTTTTTGCGATTATCACCAGCGGCTCGACAAAGACTAAACATTCCAGTTAAAATTGTTACTTTGGATCCATTAAATGATAAATGTTTTGGTGATGCATTTTCAAGATTGATATTAGATGAATTTTTGGGATACGACGATTTGTTGATGGCAAGCATCAAAACATTAGCAGAACATGAGGATAACAAAGGTTTTTTGCGGTAAGTGTAATTTTTGTTTAATATTATGATGTTTATCTAATGATAAAAATATGTTAAAGCATATTGAAAAATTTGTAAACATTGAGATAAAAAACAGGTTGATTAAATTGCGATTGCTTTGACAGGAATGTGATAACAGGAGAACATTATCGATTTGTCAGCATGTGGATGGCACGAACGTCATATTTGGCGGCATTCTTCGTCATGCTCGTATTTGTAAGTATCTTATGAATTTTATAATTGACTTATCGATTGATTGTATGTTTATGTATGTTTATGAGATTTAATAACATGTATATTTATATACAAAATATTACACGAAGAAATATAAAATGCATAAAACTTTTCAATTTACACCAAAAAATTCCAAATTTGAAATCTAAATTTTTTTTTCATATATCATACTCCATTTTAATTTATCAATACGTGTCTGCATTTCATACATGTGTATATACGCATACATGCTCATTCACATACAGATTACAAAATTAATTTATAGATAAAAGCTATTTTGTTTACCATTTATATTGATTAGCATAAATTCGTATTTTTTATATATTTGATGACAATATACACATACAAGATTTTTTTATGAATTTAATGACTGTACATATATCAAAGTGTGTGGTGTATTTTTCCGAAAGAACGCAACAATAAGAACATTGTATCATTGAATTGCAAGGTTTTTTCTTTTTTGGGGTTGGAGGGGCGATAATAAATTCTTCTCCATCAAAGAAACGATTTCACGCTCACCTATACGATAATCTAACACGTGTAAAATGATATGGCAATCAATCCAAGCTAACCACTAAAGTAACGTGTCTGCGCATAGCTTTCCTATCCCCAGCGTCCTCATTCACGCGCGATCCCTTTGGAGTTGAACCGTCGAGTATAAATCAAAGTTATTAGAGGCATCGTATTCGTCGCAGTGGCCCCATGTTGGTAATTTTGTATCAAATTGTGGTGGAATAGATTGCAGCATACTATGGTCGACATCACCAGTGATACTCCTAATGATGACGCGATGCTTTTAATAGTAACGTATATTTCGCGTGTTATAATTAAAGCAGTTATAATTAAAATCATTATTCATTAATTGCGAGTTTCCTTCTTTTTTATTTATTTATTTATTTATTTATTTATAAAAGATCTTAGAATGATATCGATTAGATATTTTTAGAGAGATATTTTTATCGTTTATTTTTATTAAGAATTGAATGTCTTACTTGCGACAGCTTCTTGCGGATATCGAACGTATACTTGCTTCTGCGATACAACTCATAATTCGGATTCGTGCTCAACAATGAGATATTTTGTTGTTAAGTTAAACAATGCGATT